CTCCCACCCCTGCTACTGCTCACGCCCACTGGAACAGCACTGGCTAAGTTTCACTCCTTCATCTTCCTAAAAAGAACTCATTCTCATCCGACGTGGCCCTTCAGATAGACATAGTTGATCATGGAGATCCTCCACAGTCCCGATGTCTTGAAGGTCATCCCCTGAGTCAGCAAATAGTCTTCTATTTTGAAAAGTCTGTAAGTCTGGTAACCCGGAACCTAAAGGTAGCTGGGTCTACCACTGGAACCCCAGGTAATCCCACAGGGTAGAGTTTCCATATGTGCTAAAATACTGGAGAAGGAATTTAGCATGCTGTCCCTGCTCACTGTTTGGGAGTGGCCACAGAGTGAGTAAGGAGGATATGCAAGTTTTAACTATTGTATGGTTTATTTAGCCAAAAGTTTAGTGCAAAATAGTACATGGCTCACTTTAAGTCATAGTAGGACGAGCCTTTTAGGGTGGAAAGAAGCTGGATGTTTCTACTCAACGGTCATTATTGGAGCTCAATGCATGTTTCCCATATCCCGACCACTACAATATGTTCTGCTGCTCACTGCCATGTCTATAACTTGTCTGCCACAATTTACTTTTAATGACAACTTGCTGTCCAAACTGTTGTTTTCCAGTTTGGGATTGTGAGCTTTGTTTACAGTATCTACTTGATGGGCTCAGAACTGTTCCAAATGGAATTATTTATGAAGAGTTTATACTGGGACTTAAGCTTTCAAACTGACTGTATTTTCTCTGACTGCTTTATGCATGGAATCTTATAACCACACCACATAAAGCCTTTTGCTTCATGTTAGCCATTACTCTTCTTCCCTCTCTTCTGTTCACAGTCACCAGGGTTTAGTTACCCTGTTGGAGTGCCTTCACCACTGTCTGCTTATGCAAGAGAAGAGCTGCCCATTCACCCATCCATCTGCTCATCCACCCATCCGTCCACCCATCCGTCCACCCAACCATCCACTCATCTATCCACCCATCCATCCATTCATCCATCCATCTGTCCATCCACCCACCCACCCATCCATTCATCCACTCGCCCATCCATCCATCCATCCACCCACCCACCCATCTGCCCATCCATCCATCCACCCACCCACCCATCTGCCCATCCATCCATCCATCCATCCATCCATCCATCCATCCATCCACTCATCCATCCGTCCATCTGTCTGCCCATCCATCCACCTACCCATCCAGTGATTAGACACTGAAAGCCATCTGCACATGAAACGCACCAAGGCCAACGAGTCATTTTAATTTAGTGACCAAATTACTGCAAACCTTTAAGTTTAGAGTTAATAAGCCAACAACATAGATAAAAGAAATAATAAGATGTATTCCAGTTCATTGAAATAATGCAGATTAAAAGAGAAAAATCAGGATAGTTGGCAACAAACAGAAAACAGCTCAATTTTAGATTTAACCCCAATCATATTAATAATGAAATATAACTTGCTTACCTATCCACTTGAAAACATCAATAATGAAGCGTGACTTGTCTACTCATCCATTTGAAAACTAGAAATTGTTAGATTGTGAATTATGTTGGATCTGGGTAAGTGACATATATATTCCTCATTTTTGTGGCAAGAATATTTAGGTAAAAGCTAACAGTCTTCAAGTATATAATGGGTTGCTATCAAGCTACAGTTGCTGTAATGTATGAGATACCATGAGGTGATCCTTTCTAATAAGCTGTGTCCTTGGACTGACAAATTCCTTCTTCCCTTACCAAGTGTCTAATGAGCCCCATTCTCTCTTTGCTTGCCTGATCTCAATTTACCAGATGCGACACATACGTGAGATCCAACAGTATTTGTCTTTCTGGGCTTGGTTTTTATCTGACTTTCAGGTTAATCCTGTGTCATAACTGAAAGGATTCTCTTTGGGTAGCATTCCACCATGTGGCTACATGACATTCCCTTTATCCAGCCATCCACTGATAGGCATATGGACTAGTTGCATAGCTAGGCTGTTATGAACAATGATGCTCAGAATGTAAGCTTGCAGGTATCTACTTGGCATACCTCTTTTGTGTCCATTGGTTATATTTTATTTATTCATTCATTAATTTATTGTGGGAGGCCAGCACTTGTATTGGTATTAGAGATCAGGGGAAAACTTGTAGGAGTAATTGCTTTTCTTTTGTATGGGCCCTGGGAATTGAACTCTAATTGTGCCTTCCCCACTCAGACATCTTAGTCTCCCTTCACTGATCATATACTTAGTACTGGTTTTGTAGAATCATATGGTAGCTCTATTCAGATTTTGGATTTCTGAGCCACTTTCATACATTTTCCATCAAGACTGTACAAGTTTACATTCTGACCAATAGTAAGTCAGGGTCTACTCTTCTGTACATGATTGTCAATACCTATTTTTAAAATATTTTTTGTAATAATCATTCTAATAGGTGTGAGATGACAGGTCATCATGGTTTAATTTGCATTTCTTTGATCATTGATGGTGAATATTTTTCCATATCTCTTTTGGCCTTTGTCCATATTCTTTTGGGAAGTGTTCATTCAGGGCCAGGTGTGGTGGTGCACACCTCAAATCCCAGCACTTGGGAGACATAGGCAGGCAGATCTGAGTTTGAGGCCTACCTGGGCCTCAAGTTTCAGGATAGCCAGGATCACATAGACCCCACCCCAGTAACCCACCCACCTCAGCAATCAACCCCACCCCAGCAACCCACCCACCTCAGCAATCAACCCCACCCCACCCCACCCCTGCAACCCACCCTACCTCAGCAATCCACTCCACCTCAGCAATCCACCTCACCCCAGCAATCCGCCCAACCCCAGCAACCTGCTCCACCCCATCCCAACAGTTGTTAACCATGTATATGCCCAGGGAGGGAGGGGTTCCTGTACCTCTTGAGCCCTCCGCTCCTTCTGGAGAGGTTGGAGGTGCTAATGGATCCAATCTTGTAGTGTTTCCTGTGGAGAATCTGATATCAGGTTAGCAATCTTATAAAATACAGAAAAATGAACTGTTCTTCTATATATTTCCAAGGAATGATGGACAAATTGTTAAGTGACACAGCACACACGCGAGTACAAAGATATTTAGGAAGGAATCCTAGAAAGGCAAGTAAGACTTGTGTCCTGAAAAAAGTCACAGGACACCGGAGTTCTCAGAAGCCCACAATAATGCTGAAATGGAAAAGTTGGTTCTGCTGTCATGCAAGTTTCTACAAAGTTGAGTGCTATAAATTAATGCAATTTTGATCAAAATTCCATGCTGCTTGCTTTATGTCTGTGCTTATGAAATCCAGAGCCTCATCATGCTATTTGTGTGCTATGCCCCTGCACATGCATGCTACACTCTACACAAGATCTTCAGCCTGGAAAAAGGAATGGAAACAATATTTGACAATCATGTGCCTGTTAGAAGATTTGTATCCATAATATACAAAGAGCTCTCAAAATTCAATAGGAAAGCATCCTCTAAAGCATGAAAGACTTGAGTAGACAACTTCAACTGGGAGAATTTGCTAAGCCAAGACATTTAACAGTTTGGTCATTAGTGAAAGAGAAGCTGACACCACAGTGGGTTAATCAATCCATCACACTATTACAACAGCTAAAATTAAAAAGACTGGTCATGCCAGATGCTGATGACGATATGGGGCGCTGATGCCCTACTGGGCTGCTGGCTGGAAGGTAAAATGGCATACACACTTTGAAAAGCAGTTCAAAACTTCCATTTCTTTCCTTATTATTTTAGTTTTGAAAGGCATGGCCTCCTGTAGCTGGAAATTCGTTATCCAGGTGAGAATGACCTTGAACAGTCTATGTGGCAGGAATTGGGGATTCCACTCAGGGCTTTGTGCCTGTCAGGCAAACACACTACCAAACAAGCACACCTGCAACCCTAGACTCTCCTTAACTTGTCAAGTACAACCCAGGAGAATTCAGTCAGTTCATTCCTAGGCATTTATTTATACCCAGAGAAATAAGACTTTGCTTCCACACAAAGACACACAGTATTCATAACAGCTTAATTTGGAGCAGGCAAAAATCTAGCACTACCCTAAATGTCACCAATAAGTGCATTAAAATTGAGGTATGTCCCTCCATAATGATTACTGTCCAGTGTTAAGAAGAAGGAACACTTCTCAGGCAACAATAAAATAACCTCAAGATTATCATGCTGAGGGAAAGAGTACACCCCCAAAAGTTCATACTATACGGTCCCATTAGTTCTGGGAAATGCAAACGAATGTTCAGTGATAGATCATTGGTTGCCTCGGGGTGTGGGTGAGTGGGCAGTGCGGGGAGAGATTGCAAAGAAACATCAGGAAACCTTGGGTGTGACCATGACCTTATTGAGGAGCTCCTGCACGCATACACACGTCAAAACTCATATTCTAAACATGCAACTTATTGTGTGCCAAATATATCTCAAGAAAGCTACTGTAAAATGCATGCAGTGGGCACATTATGCGACAGTCTGTTCTGGGCTGCGTTAGAAAAGTGTAAATGCTTTCTTTTCCCCTTTCGTCTCTACAATAAAGCTATCAGTTTGATGCTGTGATGGATTGCTCCCTCCTAGTGACAGAACACCGAGGTTTGGACAGGTTGTCACCCGCCACTGCTTAGTTAATAGGTGCTATTCCGGCTCCATTGTATTTGGATTAGAGACACATCGCTGGGAGTTCTCGTCTTCACAGTGTAGATCCTTAGATATGTGGCGGAAGCAGTTCAGAGGCTCATGCCAACTTCACAGAGCGACCCACGGAGTTTGGAGAGGGTAAGGTGACCTTTAAGCTTTCAAACCCGAGGGCTGTTAGGGAGCAGAGTCTCTGCCACTCAGAACAGGGCCCTCTGTAACACCGGCTGCCTTTTGCTTGCTGTGTTAACAACTATCAGTTGACCAAAGATCAAGTAGTTCAGCCAGAAACTTCAGCTGCTGTGGCACGATGACCGAGTGTGTCCCGGAGCAAGGAGAGACTTGTCATAGACCAGGGCCGCAGAGCACCGGAGTCAACGCCTGTGCTGGCGGGGCCCGTGGGGGCGTCGCGGGGGCGGGCCCGGGGACGCTGGCAGGCGCTCGGGCGCGGCGCCCCCTGCCGGCCGGGCTCCCGCGCGCATGCCGTCCGGAGCGCGGGGACGCAGGTCGGCGAGCCGGTAGCGAGAGGGCAGGCGGGCGGGTGCGCCCGGCAGGGTAGGTGGCCGCGGGTCGGGCGGGCCGGAGGGCGCGGGGCTAGGGCGGGAGGGCGAGCGGGCGGGCGCGGGGGCTGCGAGCGGGGGGCGCGCGCAGAGGGTCGCGCGGGGGCCCGGCGGCGGGGGCGCGCGGCGGCGGGGGCGCGCGCGGCTCGAGTCATCAATTATGCAAGGGCTCGCGCGGCGCGGGGGACGGGCGCGGGGAGCGCTCCAAGATGGCGCCCACCGCAGTCCCGCCCGCCGCAGCCTCGGCGCCTCTGCAGTCCGGCCGCGCCTCCCGGGCCCCGCGCTAGGGCCGCCGCCGCCTCGCCCGCAGCCGCCGCCGCCGCCGTAAGTCGCCCCGGAGCCCCTGGCCCGGCGCCGCTCCTCGGTCTGGGCTCCCCTCTCGCCCCGGGACCCTGGAGCGGGCTCGCCCCTCTCAGCCCGGGGCTTTGCCGCAGAGCGCGCCGCGCGGTTCGCGGGCCACGGAGCTCACGGGGGTTCGCGTGGCCGTGGAGCGGGGTTTTGCCCTTCGTGTTTTGGACGGGTGTTTTAGAAGTCTACGGTGTTTGCCGGGGTTCCCGAGGAGCATGGGGGACCACCAGCTCCCACCCTTGGACACCCTAACCTCCAGGGCTCCGGGTCGCGCTGGGGACACGGGCTTACTCCGGCCCCCTCAACGGTGCAGCCGGCACCCAGCTCGCAGTGCCAGCCAGACCGGGGGTCTCGGGCTGCTCTGCAGTCCCTCAGCTCTGCCCCCTCCCCCAGTCCTAACTGAATCCTCCCTCGTTCGGCTCCACATTGCTACCAACTGCAGAAGCCAGGGGACACCTGGCTTCCGGGGTTCGTGGGGCAGTCGGGACACCTTCTGTCCTTTACTCCTTTACTCGGCTGTGTCAGTGACACTCTAATCAGGGTGCTCAGGGGCTGTGTGGGATCCCCCGCGACCTTCCTTGGCAGGCTAGGATTCCTGCATCAGAGTATATCACTTTCAGAATATCCCCTTCCCCCACCCCCACCCCTACGCCACCCTTTGCAGAGCTTGTTCCTCTCCTTGCTCCCTTCCCTCCCCCACCTTACCACGGGCAGCAGCACCCCGGGCTTCTCGTTAGCGTTGGAATACAGAACTGTTTGCTCAGCTCCACAGCTTGGACCCTTCCTCTCTACTTCACTCTTGGTACCCTGGGGACCGCAAACCCTCTGCATTTCTCCCGAGAGCTCCGCTCCCTGCTCTCCATTGCCCGCAGCAACCACCGGTGGAGACTTGGCAGTTAACTTTCCGGGCGGTACTGGGGGCTGTCAGACCCCTTCAGCGTCCTTAGCTTCGAGTTCGGATGGCGTGGGAATCATTTTTCAGTCTGATAAATAGGAATTCTCCAAACTGTGCATTCCTTCCAGCTACTCCACCCTATGCCCTCTCCCTCACTCACACTGCAGTTTTTTAAGCACATTTTATAACTGGAGGTTCCAAGATTCGCATCGGTGTTCATAATCAATGTCATCTGATGGGGTGGAGGGGCATAGAAGAAACTTTGCATTGCGTCTGGCCGAACTCAGGGGCAGGGAGAAATAATCACGCTGTAAGCTCTGCCACACAGGGGAAACTGCTTTTAATACACAGTGGGCACCCAGAAGGGCAGCAGTTAGAAGCAGGAAGTGTGGGTAAGGGCCTTTAGGGCAAAGGGGGAGAGCTTTTTCTAACTGTTTTCTCGAGTTTAAACCTAGAGATTCTTTGGAGAGGGGTATGTGTGCTACGACTGGGGAATCTTTTAGCTTCCCAAGCAGATTTCGGGTGTGGTAGATTTTTCACAGTCTCACAGGCTCTCTTCTCTTTTCTCCGTGTGCATTAGGAGATATGGGGGAGGGAGCCTTTTTTTTCTTTCCTAAAAAAATTGTTTTTTGATGTGTAATGCAAATGGCTGGACGGCATTACTACCAAGTACCAGGATGGCAGGACTGGGGATTCAGACTTAAAATGCTGACAGCTTTTAGCGTATTGTCAGTAACCTAGCTCTTGAAATACTGCAGCATTTTCCTTTGGAACTCATGACCCATCAGGCCTTGGGTTCTCCCTGAAAGAGGATTTGATTGCTGTGTGTGGGGGTAGCGATGGTTTGGTGTTCTGTGAGCATTCTGTCTGTCCTAGAAATGGAAGCTCTCTGGAGAGGGCTGCAAGCGTGTTCTGTGTTCTTAGAACATCTGATGTGTGTGGATGTGATGTTTCTTACTGGGTTGTGGTGGGTTTTGTAAAGCAATTCGTGGTGATGCAGGCCACATAGTTACTGGTTTCTTGGGGTCAGTTTGGGAGGCTGACTTTATATGCTTTTGGTTTTCATCTGAGGTTTTGTCAACTTTCATACAAATAATTGGAATATTTTCTTTTAAATTAAAAAAGGATAATAGCTTGGGATATAATATATTTATAAACAAACAGCCTTATAGTTGCCTCCTTGAAGGCGGACCCTCAGCAATTCCTCCAACCCACTCTTGGGCTTGGGCTTGCATTTTCTTTTGCTTTATACTTGTACTAGAGGGGACCTGCTGTGGTGCTGAACGGACAGCTCCCAGGCCTGTGTGGCTGGAGTCGCAGACTGGAAGGGACTGGGTTTGATGTAAGAGCAGCAGGCTTTCCTGTGGCTGTGATCTGCCTGGGCATGCGCAGCTGGGTTGTACTTGAGGTTGAAGGTCTAGTTATCACATTTTTCTTACTCCCACATAAGTCCTCATTTTTGTTTGCCCCTCAAGGAGGCAATGCTTTATAGACTGCAACAGAGCCATAGGTACATTCTGCTGATTGTATGATTTCAGCATATTTTTTGTCATTTCAAATAGCAAGAAACTGTTAATATTGCAGTAATTTGGTCTTCGCCAGAAGTAATTAGATAGCAAACCAAGTTAAGCTGAATGTGAAGGGCATCTTTGCTAGGTTGGTTGGAACAGGGAGAGGGACTCAGCAGGCTAGCTTGTGATCCATTGTGTCACTAGGGTATGCTAGTCTAAAAAGTGTTTAAAAATCATTCTTATAAGAAAGCTATGCTTTGAATATTTTGACTACTCACTACCAACATGGATGAAACTAGTTCGTCCACTGTGGTTAAAATGCTTTAATCTCTCTTGAAAATTAGCATGTGTAACATTGAAGGACATATATTGGAACTATGTAAGAGGCAAATGTCTTTTACGTGCTCGCTACCAAGAAAACAGACAACATTTTGTAGAGAACTGATAAGACGCTCTATGTATTTGGAAAGAATGCAAAGAAACATGGCTGCCTAAAGTAAGAAGAGGGTTCTGTGAATAGAAAGAAAGCTGTCGTTCATGTGCTGGGTTATGTAAGAAGTTCTGGGCAGCACTTGCTTTACTTAATGATTGTTTAACCCCGGAAGGCTGTCCTGAGATGGGCAGAAAACCCATCCTGTAGAGAAAGTGTTAACAGCCTATCCAGTGTGGAGGCAGTTACCACGGTTATAACAATATCACACACCGGCTGCAGAAACAGCTGGAAGAAAGTCTTCCTGACTTTTATGTGCTCAGCAAAAGCGATGACCATGTTTGAGTGCACTTTTTCAATTTCAAGGTGCACTTGCAGAAGTTACACAAGTCATGCTTGCTTTCAAACTGTCTTCCAGGTCTTTAAACTCATGCTCTATCAGACTTAGGGACTCAGACATTAAGTTGTTGTATTTCTGTTTACTTTCCCCCTTAATCCTTTAAAACAATTTTCAGAAAACGGTCTTTAATGTGGGCAAATTCACTCACAAAGTAAACCCTTCTTTTAAAGTCTCTTGGCTAAAACGTAGCAAGTTAACTAGACAAATAAAGACAATGTTTCTCAATCAGTGGCTTGATGACTAGTGTCACCCAGTGAGTCTCAGATGTAAGGCACTGTGTTGGACATGGATACAGTTGCTAAATGGCACCAACTCAGAAATGATGCCATACTCAAAAACTGTGCCTGTGAAGAGCAAAAAGGAGGAAACAGGACGCGGGCCTGTGGGCTTATTGATTGGGGAAATGTTGTGTGAGTGTTAGGTTGAGCTCAGTGATTTTTTTTAAAACCTAAAAAAACCCTTGTAAAAGGGTAGAAAATAAATATAGGAAAAGAAAGGAAAAGGGGGTAGGCCTCTGAAATTTTTTCTGTCTCTTTGTGAAGTTATAGAAACACAGCTAGGATTAAATGGTATGTCATGGATTGAGGAAAAATGACCCAACCATTTGCCATAGTTACTTTTCATTTCCTGTGTGTATGTGTGTGTGTGTGTGTGTGTGTGCGCTCGTGCGCGCGCGCGCATGCACACTTTTGAGACAGAGTTTCTCTGTAGCTTTGGAGCCTGTCCTGGAACTTGCTCTGTAGACCAGGCTGGCCTTGAAATCACAGAGATCCACCTGCCTCTTGTCTCCCGAGTGCTGGGATTTAAGGCTTGTGCCACCACTACCTGGCTATAGTTACTTTTCTTACATAGGGAAGAAAAGACAAGAGGTCTATGGGCCATTGAGTCAGACAAAACTAAGTTCAAATCCTAACTTGGCTAATTACTTGCCCTTTAACCTTGGGCAAGTTATCTAATTTCTCTGGGTTTCAATTACCCTTATCTATAAAAAAAGGAATAATAATGTCTACATTGCAATGTTTGTGGGGATTGAATAAAATCTGTTTCCGAGGTTTAGCAGCCTAGAGGGTATTTACATGTGTGTCTGATTTAGTTGTATGTACTGTATTAAGTTTCAGTGGTCAGAAAAGCAGACAGCTCCTGAATTTAATCTGGTTTAGGAGGTGGGGCTTGTAAGTGGCTTATCCTGAATGGACAGTCTTTTTCTCAAAGGAGGAAAAACAAACCACACCACGATTGCATTGCCAAAGTAATGCTTCTCTTGTTCCCTCCTGAACTAAGCTATGGTGGCTCCTGTCCACAAAGGAGTGTTTTAGCAACAGATCTAAAGACGAACTAGGCCTAGAAGTTGAGGCACCATTGTTCTCATATAAGCTAGGTCTTATCAGTGTGGTAGAGTTTGAAAGGGGTTCTGTCTTTTAGTTTTCTTTGTATGTGAGCTTGGAATGGCTGTGTCTGAATGGCTATCATCTTAGAATCTTTGTCACTATTACTCTGTTTACCAAAATTCAAAGTATCCTTCTTTCTGGTGGATTTTAGAGCTAGGTAAGGCAGGCTATTGTTTTGTTGCAGTTCAGGAGACAGTGTGCCCAGAAGGAATGAGGACCACGTAAGAGGTCATGTGCAAACTGCTGCTGAGGCAGATCCACAGTAAAGATATCTTTTTTTCCCATTAAATGGTGTTACATTCTGATGTTCATAGAACCAAGTAAAATGAACAGTTTTGGTTTATTTTAAGAAATTATCATTATCCTAGGTAGCTAAACATATCTTAGTGAGTGGGCACAGTGAAAGATTCTGAGATAGGCAGAAGGAAGGCAGAAGGACCTCTGAAGGAGCATTTTGGAAGAGGAAAAATGACCTGAAGTGTCAAGAAGTGGTTGAAGTAGCACGCCTCTTCGTTCTGTACTTGCCCTACCCTTCTGTGGTGACCCGGAAATGTGCTCACACTGCCAACCTGTATAATAACAAGGACAGTAGG